CCTCGTGGGTCAACAGATGTGTTATAGTGTATTCGTATAATGTAAGGCAATCTTTAGTGTTCTTGAGAACTATAGAGCCTGTGTCTCTAAACAAAATCTTGTTAAATATTTATATCATTAGTCTGTTCACATTCTATTAAAAACAAAACAAATCCCATTCACTTTTAAATACAAATAAAAAAAAATGAAAAATCTAATTTCAGAAGCTTTCTTATAATGTAAGGCAATCTTTGTACATGTCGGTTCCTCTCTTCTTCTTCATCTTTTGTAATTATATTTTGAAAAAAAAATGTAGATCTAACATTTAAATTGTAGCAAATGCCCGACTAATGTTAGTTTAATACATGGTATTGTTGACATAAAATATGTGCGGTGGCATTCAATACTAAAAAGACAAATATGAGGTTTAATTCAATGGTGATGTGCACTTTGAGGAATAAATTAAATAACATTTCATATTGTGAAAATTTTGAAATATTCTAAGCACTTGAGATTTTGAAAATCGTACGGTCTAACAGACAGCATAAGCTATGAAATACACACATAAATATTTACATGTGTAGAAACAACTAAAAAATAAATTTATTTATTATGCAGAAATTCATCAATTTGATGTGTACAATAATGTAAATATTCAAAAAAGAAACATTTAATTTTATAATAATGCTGGGATTAAAGTTTTTTTATTTTACTCCCTCCATTCTATGCTGCATTAATTTTTGAAAAGTCAAACTTCAATCTTTGATGAAGTTTTTAGAAGAAAATATCAACATTTACAATAGCAAATTAGCATATATAGATCCATCATTAGATTCATTTAATAGTTTGTTTATTCAGTAATGGTTTCATGAAAACCGATAATATTTATTTCAATTTTGCAAAATTCTTTTTAAAAATACCATAGTGTTAATTTTGCAAAATTTATTTATTGTTCTTTTTTATATAAAAACTGTAGAAAACAAAAAGATAACAGTTTTCAATTTACATAACATTTGGAGAATTTGTGTTAATTATAACCAGTACTGAAATTTTAAAATACTACTCCCTCCGTAAAGAAATATAAGAGCGTTTAGAACACTAGTTTCTTTACGGTGGGAGTAGCAGTTAAAAAACTATTGTGATTAATACTCAAAGAGACTAGTAGTGATTTTGAAATGGGCGAGAGAGAAACACCTAATTTCGATAAATAAGATGGGCAATTAATCAAGCTGCTGAGACAACAACACTGGAAGCTAAAACAGAAGTTACATGGGTTTGCAACAGCTTCAAGAGACTATCAAGTGTGATCAACTTGACATTAATTATATTCCCCTCCACTAGATTAGTTCTGATATCTGGTTTGTAAAGATGAAAGATATGGCCAACTGAAAATATGGGAAGCACAAATACCAAAGCGCCCGTTAATCTTGGACCAGTAAATCTTCTTGTAGCCAGTCCTCACATAGGATCGTTCGAGGTAGCTCAATTCTTTCCCACTTCTGTACTAATTTAAAGTTTGTATGTGCAGAACTAGCGCCTTTCCAGATTTGGCATCACTGCAGAGAAACACCGCCTATAATTTCAGTATTCAGTACAATAGCCAATGCATTATAGTTTCTGTAAGATTCCCCAGCTTTACTATTTTTTGGGTGTTCTAACCACAGCGAAAATAACTCTGCTCCTCTCTTCGGAGTTAGAATGCCAGCGTAGAGTTAGTATTTGTTGCGCATAGCACTAGATCTTCTGGTAAGGGCAATTTATGTTACTGTGTTCTTCTGGTCACTTCATTATCCTCTCCTGTTCAAGGAACTACGCCATTGGCCTGATCTGCTTATTACCATGTTATTATACGAGAAACAAGCGCACTGTTCATCCACAAAAAGGAAAGAGAAGCAAGTGCCCACTGAATTCAGACGACGACTCCTATATTTTTTTTTTCCGAAAAAGAGGTTGAAACCCCCATCTAAAATGTCACACCCCACGGCCTGACCGGCTTGTCTCGTCCAATGCCAGTGACCGAGTGCTGGTGCTATATCTTGCTTATTGCGGGATGTAACGCTGTCTCGCCTCTAGCGCTCGTTGTACGCTCGTCTTAGTGGGCCGGCCAAATGGAGCTGTTACGGAAGGTTCTGCATAACAGTTTTAGAGCCTTTCATGTGTGTTTTTTGTGGTTTTTATTAGGGTTTTTTGGTTGTTCTTTTTAGTGCATTTTTATTAGTTTTCTTTGTTTTTCGGTTTTTTATTTTTTATTTGTTTTTCTTCACCTTTTCAAATAAATGTCAATTTTTGAAGATTTTTTATATACACATTGAACAATTTTTGGATATAGGATGAACATTTTGTATATATAGGTTGGATACTTTTAAGATACACATTGAACATTTTTCACATATATGTTAAACAATTTCTGCATACACGTTGAACATTTGTTAAATGCACACTGGACATTTTTCAATACACATTGAACATTTTTCATAAATGCCCTGAACATTTTCTCAGAATGTGTAAAACATTTTTAAAATGTTATGGATATTTTTAAGTGTCACAATTTTTTTGTATGGTATGAAATAATTTTCAAATTAACACTAATAATTTTTTTAAAAAAATTATATAAATATGTCACAAACATATTTTTGAAACATGTGGATATTTTCTAAATAAGAAACAAATTTTGAATGCTAATAACAGTTTTTACAAATTAGGCGAACAAATTTGACACCAAACACTTTTTAGTGCGCGCTGAACATTTTTAATGCATATCATAGAAATTGAGGAAAATATTTTGAAATATTTAATATATTTATATATCAACCATTTTGGAATATATATAAATAAAAGAGAAAACAAAAAACAAAAGAAGGAAAGAAAGAACGAAACTGGCCAGGAACGGAAGGAGGAACCGAACAAGGGAAAACACGTTGCTGGCCGGGCAAGTGCCATGCATTGTACGCGAGCTCATTTAGAAGGAACCAACGAGGATGATGGATTGCGAACCAACCTGTGTTGGATGGTTAGAGGGACAGTGGTATCCCCAGCCCACCAGACATTAGGGTTCAAGTCCTGGTGCTCGTATTTATTTCAGGATTTCCGGCGATGCGCTTTCAGTGAGTGTATGCGCGTATGTATAAGCGCATAAGTCTGTACTGATGTTCACAAAAAAAACGAGGATGATGGATCAACTATTATTTGGTACTTCTAAAAATATATGTATTATTTGGTACTACCTCCGTTGCAAATTATAACATGTCTTGGATATTTCAGTATAGACTACATAAGAACTAGAATGAGTGAACAAACACCCTAAAATGCGTCTATATACTTTTGATTAAAAAAAGTTAGAACATCTTGTAATTCGGAACAAAAGAAGTAGTTGATTGATCTCTTATATGGAAGCACAATGTATGGAAACGGTGTTTTTGCATGTTCCATGTGTTATATATAATTCGGAACAAAAGGAGTAGAAGAAGAATACGAAAAAATCGAACAATCATATATGATTGTTTACAGGTTAGTTTTGAAGTATTAATGATGCAAATTAATAGAACTTGTGATAGATTATCTATTCACAATAGAATCTTGTTTTCCGCAGGCAGAACTCAGGAAGTGTATAGTGTATGATGAGCAGATTCAACTCTTACTTTGGTCTGTGAACTGCACGCAAAAGAGCTATATTTTGATTTCCGAACTAGGCAAAACCTGGGAATTATAAGGAGTTTAATACAAGGGCAGTCCTGATTGTTTCGCCAAAATGTCAACCGAGTCCCTATTATTTGAAAATGCACATCCCAGTCCTAATTCTTCTCCAAGTAGATCATCACAGGTCCTACCGCCACGTAGTCAATATTTTGCAAAAGGAGGGAAGGGTCGTGAATTTAGAAGAAATGAATTCTAGGGGTCATTTTTGCAAAATATAGATTATGTGACGGTGGTCAAAGTGCCATGCAAGCCGGTTATCATGGGTCTAGCGATGAACCATTTAAAGATGAATTGAGACTGGGATGTGCATTTTCAAAAAATAGAGACTCGGTTGACATTTCAATGAAATAATTACGTTCACCCTTGCATTTAACTCAATTATTAGCTTATGATGTACTGTGCATTTCAATGTGTACTGCAATGTTTTAGTTTGCCAGAAGGTCGGGCTGGGCAAAGATCCAAGATTTGGCTCAAAAGATGTTGGAGTTGTACCCATTTTGCAAGAGGGCGCACATCATAAATTCTCCGAATGTCCTTGACCCATCTTAACGGGTGTGATAAAAAATATAAAATCTTGTTATATCAATATGTCAGGAGAGAGTGTTCCAAAAAAAAGAGAATTACGCCGCTGCCTTCTTCACTATGCAAAAAAATTAGGTGATTTGGAATGAGAAATGCGAGTGTTCCAAAAAAATATATGCCACCAACTTTCCTAATGTGCATGAAAGAAACGACTTGATGCATGGGTGCATCTGCGCCTGGGCGTGAGGTGTAATACTCCCTCCATTTCATTTTAGTTTGCATATAAGATTTGGTCAAAGTCAAACTTTGTAAAGTTTGACTAGCTAAGTATAAAAACAATTTAACATTCATACTATGAAATCAATACTATTAGATGCATGATGAAATTAATTTTCATAACATATAACTTTAGTATTGTAGATGTTAATATATTTTTTAAAGTTAGTCAAACTTTGTGAAGTTTGACTCTGATCAAATCTTATATGTTTTGGACCGAACACCCCCTTGTCTTCTAACCACCCCTAAAAAAAACCTTGTCTTCTAACCACCCCTAAAAAAAACCTTGTCTTCTAACCTATCTCAGCCCGAACCGGCCGATGGCGGCGCGCCGCTCCGCCACGCCCGGCCGCCGCAGCTGCTTCCCCTCAACCGCCGCCCGTCCTCACGCCCAGTAGCCCCAGCTCGGTCTCCGCTCCCCCGCGCCGCCTCTCTCCTGTGCACGTCCGCTCGCCACCTGCTTGACCCGCTCATTCCCCACCCCCGCCCCCTTCCTCTGCCGGAAGGACGACGCCCTCTTTTGCTGGATGTCGATGAGGAGTTGCTATTCTTCTTCTCCTTTCCTCCGTGGGATCTCTAGAGCGGCGTGGAGGCACGCGGTGGCCGGCACTCCGAGTCTGAGCGGCAGCCACAATCTGTGCCACTTGCCCCTCCGGCCTCGCGTGCCGCCCATCGCCCTCGGCCTTGCTGGACGCTTCTTCTCTTCCTCCTCATCCAAATCCAAGCGCTCCACCAAGAAATCTGCCGCAAAGAAGGACACGCCGACGGGCTCTGCCGGCGGCGGCCAGTTCTATGTCGTCCGCAAGGGGGATGTCATCGGCATCTACAAGGACCTCGCCGACTGCCAAGCTCAAGTCAGCAATTCGGTCTGCGATCCTTCAGCGACCGTGTACAAAGGCTGCTCTCTGCGTAAAGAAACCGAGGAGTATCTCGCAAAGCGTGGGCTAAAGAATGCTCTGTATTCGATCAACGCAGCAGATGCAAGAGATGAGTTGTTTGATGCTCTGGCTCCCTGCCCTTTCCAGCAGCCTGATGGAATTGCATCCTCTGCTTTGGAAACCGGACCATCAAAGAAGCATCCCAAAGTCGCTGAACAGGAGCCGTTACCTGATAGTCATCTGTCCTGCATTCTCGAGTTTGATGGTGCTTGCAAAGGAAACCCTGGGAAATCAGGTGCCGGCGTGATAATCAGGCGACCGGACGGATCCGTGATCGCTCACCTACGCGAGGGTTTGGGTATTGCAACATGTAATGCCGCTGAATATCACGCATTGCTCCTGGGGTTGAGGTATGCTGCTAACAAGGGATTCAAGTACGTTCGTGCTCAAGGCGATTCTAAGCTTGTCTGTAACCAGGTCCAGGATCTCTGGCGTGTTAGGAATGATAATATGGCTGACTTGTGCAAGAAAGCTAAGGAGCTCAAGGGAAAGTTTCTTCAGTTTCAGATCAACCATGCTTTGAGGAAATTTAATGCAGATGCTGATGCCCAAGCTAACTTTGCTGTTGAACTTCCTGTTGGTGAAGTTCAAGAGCAGACAAACTTCCCATGCTAGCTAGTGGTTGTGCGTTGTGCTTCTGGGCAGTTCGCGTCCTGCTCCACCTTTTTTTGCTGCCACTGAAGCTATGTGACATCTGCTCATTTCACATTGACAGAAACAAGAATTCAAAGTCGAGCAGTTGGTGCGTAATTTGCGGTTGATCCGTGTGGTTGCGAGCTGGAGTCGAGATATTCGGATAAGAAGTGTAAGCTGAGGAAATTGTGCCTAGATTTTTGGATGAGCTTGAGTAGAAGCTTGGCACTAGTATTTAACTTGCTGGTATTATGGAGACTACATACAACGTTTGATACTATTTGGTACTCCCTCTGTAAACTAATGTAAGACATTTTTGCAGTTTACATTGAACTGTAAAAAAACGTCTTATATAGTATACAGAGGTAGTAGCATAGTTAATTTATATTGCCTCGGCAAAGGGAAATATGCTACTGCTGCAATTTATCCGTCTTGCAACGTTGTTCAGAGTCGCAATACTACACTTTCAAAATACTAATGCAATCTCTAAGAGCGCCTTTATTCAAAAGAATTTTAGGATTTTTGAGAATTTGAGTTCTTAGTAATTTTCTAAAAGAAAGTGATCGTTTGATTCACATGATTGAAATCCTTACGAATTATTATTTACCGATTCAATTGCACTCTGTTTTGGAGCAAAATTACCATCAACTCAAACCATTGTTATAATCCATTTGTTTCTTTCTATGCTTTCAGAACTTTTCAATCCAATAATCTGTATTTTTTATCTTATAAGATTCAAGAGGATTTGGCACTCTAATTATACAGTTTTCCAATTTACACGTTTGAGAATTTTGTGAATGGCCTCTTTAGGTAGGCCGAGGTCATGGTTACGAAGGAACCAAGTTAAAAAGCAGTCTATGAGGAAAAACCTAGGCGACTCGTGTGTGTGTGTGTGTGTGTGTGTGTGTGTGTGTGTGTGTGTGTGGCATCGAGTGATGAACACAATCATATGTTATTAACTATGAAAAATGTTGAACAAATCAGCTTACATAGATGAGAAAAAAATTGAGGCGTGATTGTTACCAAGTTATAGCCAAATAACATAGTTGAGCCCACCAAGTGCAAGGGTTTATAGGAAGTAACAAGATTTTGCTTCAGTGAGAAATCAAGATATCAATTCATGTAACTACAAATTTCCTAAACCAATAATAAGTTCCGCAACAAAAAGAAAACTTCACTTGTGCCTCCAACAACACTAAGAAGGGTGTCAAGCTTACTGGCCCACGTGCGAGTTAGGGTGGTGCGGGTGTGGCGGCGCACACCGGCGAGGAGCACGAGAGGGTGCGTGAGGATCTAGTGGGGGTGTCGGGGGTGCCATGACACCCCCTCCAAAATTGTAAAATAAAATTTACTGTGTAGTTAACACTAAATATCGATAAAGTTTTTGTTATTTAAGAGTATTTGTTGAGATTATGATGATGTGTAGTGTAAACTTTGAACTGTTGCACTCCAAGCCTGCTATTCTAGGTTTGCCACTGCGAGAGGGGATGAGAAGCGGCGGTAGCGAAGAGGGTGAGACGGCGGGGGGTTGAGCTTCCAAGTGTTGTGACTTGGGAGCCCAAGGGTGGTGTCGTGCCCCTCTTTCTGGCCGCCTGTTGCGCTCAGAGGGGTGGGCGAGTGGCAGTAACCTGCGAGGAGAAAGAGAGCCAGTGTCGATGTCCTGCTGTGATCATGGGGCAGGGTGGCTGGCGTTGACAGCGGGGGAGTGGAGGAGGCGTGCGTGAATAGGGGGGGAGGGGGGGAACGGAGGCAGCTAGGGTTCTCTCACTAAAACGAGGGGCTCTTATATGCCTCTATGTAAAATCCTGATTTTATGCTGGCCAAACCACCGAATAGCCCAACAATGCTATCTTTAAAAAAATTCCACAAGACGCATGTTGGAGCGCAACCAAACCGACTCTCCGCCCGGCCTGGATATATATGAGCAACCCGACCAGACCAGCTATCTCCTCGCCTAACCTAAGGCTAGTCATAGTACGAGTAACATAAATAGTAACATAGATGCCACATAAGTAAAAAAAATGATATGTCATGTAATTAAAGAGGAGAGAAATAAATAAAGTAACATAATATTTTACCATCACATAGCGGTTCCTAATACAAAATGAATCTACAAAGTAATAAATAAAGACATGTATATTACTACATCTATGACACTTCCCACGATGAAGATAGCAAATCCCCCACACATCGATCGAGCGATGGATCCCACTCCCCACCGCCGGAATCGAATCGATCGCGCGCGGTCGACTGCAAGGTCTACGACGCCTTCAATCTGCCGGCATGCCCACCTTCCCTCTGCCACCCACTCCCGATGGCACGCCCGACTACTATAGCTACGAGCAGCTCAAGGTCACCGTCTCCGTTCCTTGATGATCCCTCTCTATTCTATCTACTTGTAGTACGAATTGACTTTTTTTTTCTTCTGACCCCCAACCTGATTGCGGGATCTGAAACTTAGGGCTTATAGTTGGGGAGTTGTTTTTGTTACTCAGGTGTTTTCTTGATGTCACTCAGTCCTACACCCACTAATGTAAAAAACACTATTATATTATGGAATAGAGGGAGTAGTTATTAATTAGTCTAGAAAATGTCAATACGTTCTAGATACATTTTCGTCTTATAAACACCTGATGTTGTAAATCAAGGCATATTTTTTCAATTAGTTTTGAACGGAGGGAGTACAGAATCTAACTTAATGTTGGTTTGTCAGCAGCCGCCGGGATATGATGTTGCTTCGGGCTGGCAGATTGGCTACTACCCGCCAGGCCACCCACAACACCGGCGAATGGAGAAAATTACTAAAAAATACCGAGATGATCAGGACCAGCATGACGGACGCCCGACGAAAATGAGAAAATACCTAGAAGAAGATGAGTTTGACGGGGCCCAACCAAAGTAGTGCTCCTGACTCGGATGTTCTCGCCAGATGACCGCCTCGAGGACGACGACTTCTACCAGGACTTCCTACGGCAATAACACCAGTTCGTAAGGCTCTTTAGTGCCGGTTCGGTAATTGGCACTAAAGCCCACCCCCCCTAGTACCGGTTCAGCACGAACCGGTGCTAAAGGGCAACCACGTGGCATGAGTCAGCTCCATGGGCGCGTAGGACATTAGTACCGGTTGGTAACACCAACCGGTACTAAATGTTTGGGTGTGTTTTGGTTTTATTTTTTATTTTTACTTTAATTTTGTGTTTTTAATTTAATTTTGTGTTTTCAGTTTAATTTAGTGATTGTTTTACATTATAATGGGTTGTTAAATCATTAGGTGAATGTACCGCATATTAGTTTGACTGGATGCATATGGATCCTAGCTAAGTCATCAAATATATGTCATATCCATATTATATATACTTGATCATCTAATTAAGTGATCGAGGTAATATGGATATGACATATACTTGATCACTTAGCTAGAATCCATTCAGTTGAAACTAATCTGCGATTTCTTTCATAAATGATACAATAACTCATCATCATCATATTAATATAAAAACTCTTGCATCATATATATCATCACCACCAACAGTTTTCATAGCTAGCTAAAAATCATCATATAATAGTCGTCTCATTAGCACTACTTAATCATCATATAGTCATTACCGCTATCTAATCACCACCAACACTAGCTTAAAAAAGAAACATTCACTTGTATCAGAAGCAAAGATATCATCGAGTTCAACATGATAATGATATTATAAGCGTTCATAACACCACAAAAGCAAATCACTCTTTGAGATTAAGTTCAAGACGAAGAACACGAACATGAGAGGACAAGTACTAAGAGCATGAACTAGCTAATTAATCACTCCTACTGCTCTCTCTCAGGTAAAATAGTATAGAACATGTATAGCTTTCCTGATTCATCATATTGGAGCATGCAGATGAACTTGTCTCCTAATCGTGGGTTGCGCTTCTGATTGCTGCCCCTAGTACTTCTCTGCGATCGTTCATAATTTTGCTTCAGTCTTTTACTATTAAGCATTCCTCGCTATTAGAAATCCCGAATGCACTAAAGTGCATTGTAGGATATCTTGGCCGTAAGCTAACAATATTCATGGTACCTTTAGTCTCGATCCCATAAGGCACAACATTCATCGGAAGTCCCTGTTGAAGAACATCGTATAGTAACATACTTAGCAATGAAGTTTAGCTTAAAAAAATAATGCATGCAAAAGATGCACTGAGGAGAAATAGTAGAAATCTTACCATCTTTCCTAAATATATGTGACCGTAGTTCAGTACGAACATTATTGGTCGCACGCTTTGAGTACTAACATTTCTAAGTGCAGGCAAATTTTTTGTCTTGACAGCATCAAGATCCTCAAGCCATGAAACATAATAACTTGTCTCCTCACAGTTTAGTTCAGCCCTGGGACAGTGGACGGTCTTGTCTACCAAGCGTCGGACATGTTTGCTTGATTAGAAATAAGCTGTCAATATAAATTGAGATCTATTAATTATTCAACTGGTTCAAATAATCTCTTATCAAAGACATAAATATGGTTGAGAAACTCACATAATGGTAGAACTGGAGGCGTCTGCACATCGACCCAGATGTCTCTATTACCTTCAATATCATCATCCGGACGAATATCAAATGTGATAACCATATCAGGATCAAATGCATAAGCCTTGCATAGTGCTTGCCGAGTTTTGCATTCAAATAAGCATTTACTAAGAATAAACTAGTTATATTAATTCAACTAGTTCAAATAATCTCATATACCTAATTATTTAATATCTAACTAATTCATCTAACAATTGACATTAATATTTAACTTCTCTATCTAATTTATCTAACAATTGACATTAATATTTAACTTCTTTATATAAAAAACATTTATATATAACTGACATTTCTAATATTTCTATAACTAAAAACAGAAAAATTTCTAACATTTCTATAAATAAAAAACATAAAAAATTCTATAACTAAAAAACTAAAAAACAATGTGTGTGTGTGGACATGCATGGCG